ACTGGGACTAAACCAGGACTGAACCAGACGTCAGTTGGTTCAGATGCCCTCCCGTCCCGCTGGTCTCACCGGGAGGACGGCGTCGCTGGGGGAGTGTCCGCTCGAGTCTTCGGCCTCGTATCTGTAATGATCCAACGCGGCGCAGAAAAACCCGGGCTGCGCCTCCGAACACTGACGACCAATCAGGTGCTCCCGACAGGTGCACTGCCCGCTGTCCATCATGCACCTGTCAGAGGAGACACAGGAGACAGGAGACACAGGAGACAGAGGAGACACAGGAGGAGACACAGGAGACAGAGGAGACAGAGGAGACACAGGAGACAGAGGAGACACAGGAGACACAGGAGACAGGGAGGAGACAGAGGAGACACAGGAGACACAGGAGACAGAGGAGACAGGAGACAGGAGACAGAGGAGACAGACAGAGGAGACAGACACAGGAGACAGGAGACAACAGGAGACAGGAGACAGGAGACACAGGAGACAGGAGACAGGAGACAGAGGAGACAGAGGAGGAGACAGGAGGAGAGGAGACAGGAGACACAGGAGAGAGGAGACACAGGAGACAGAGGAGAGGAGACAGAGGAGACACAGGAGACACAGGAGACACAGAGAGAGGAGACAGGAGACAGAGAGAGACAGAGGAGACAGAGGAGACAGAGGAGACGAGGAGACAGAGGAGACAGAGGAGAGGAGACAGAGGAGACGAGGAGACAGAGGAGACACAGAGGAGAGGAGACAGAGGAGACACAGGAGGAGACAGACACAGGAGACAGAGGAGACAGAGGAGACAGAGGAGACAGAGGAGACAGGAGACAGAGGAGACAGAGGAGAGGAGACAGAGGAGACAGGAGACAGGAGACAGGAGACACAGGAGACACAGAGGAGACAGAGGAGACAGAGGAGGAGACAGAGGAGACACAGGAGACACAGGAGGAGACAGACAGAGGAGACAGAGGACACAGGAGACAGAGGAGACGAGACAGAGGAGACAGAGGAGGACAGGAGACAGGAGACACAGGAGACACAGGAGACACAGGAGACAGACAGGAGACAGGAGACACAGACACAGGGAGGAGACAGAGAGAGACACAGAGAGACAGGAGACAGGAGACAGAGGAGACACAGGAGACAGGAGGAGACAGGAGACACAGGAGACACAGAGGAGACACAGGAGACACAGGAGACAGAGGAGACAGAGGAGACAGAGGAGACAGAGGAGACAGAGGAGACAGAGGAGGAGACAGAGGAGGAGACAGGAGACAGAGGAGGAGACAGGAGACACAGAGGAGACAGGAGACAGGAGACAGAGGAGAGGAGACAGAGAGAGAGGAGACACAGGAGACAGGAGACAAGAGGAGACAGAGACACAGGAGACAGGAGACAGACAGAGGAGACAGAGGAGACAAGGAGACAGAGGAGACAGGAGAGGAGACAGAGAGGAGACAGAGGAGACACAGAGGAGACACAGGAGACAGAGGAGACACAGACAGAGAGACAGAGAGGAGACAGAGGAGACACAGGAGACAGAGGAGACACAGGAGACAGAGGAGACACAGGAGACACAGGAGGAGACAGAGGAGACACAGGAGACAGAGGAGACAGAGGAGACACAGGAGACAGGAGACAGGAGGAGACAGAGGAGACAGAGGAGACACAGGAGACACAGGAGACAGAGGAGACACAGAGGAGACAGAGAGACAGAGGAGACACAGGAGACACAGGAGACAGAGGAGACAGAGGAGACAGGAGAGACACAGGAGACAGAGGAGACAGAGGAGACAGACACAGGAGACAGAGGAGACACAGGAGACAGGAGACAGAGGAGACAGAGGAGACAGAGGAGACACAGGAGACACAGGAGACAGAGGAGGAGACACAGGAGACAGGAGAGGAGACAGAGGAGACAGACACAGAGAGACAGAGAGGAGACAGAGGAGACACAGGAGGAGACAGAGGAGACAGAGGAGACAGAGGAGACAGAGGAGACAGAGGAGACACAGGAGACAGAGGAGACAGAGGAGACACAGAGGAGACAGAGGAGACAGAGACAGAGGAGACACAGGAGACAGAGGAGACAGAGGAGACAGAGGAGACAGAGGAGACAGAGGAGACAGAGGAGACACAGGAGACAGAGGAGACAGAGGAGACAGGAGACAGGAGACAGAGGAGACACAGGAGACAGAGGAGACAGAGGAGACAGAGGAGACAGAGGAAGTGAAGGAGGACGAAACAGGATCTGAATCAAGTTCTGTTCTCAGGTTCTTTTTTCAGACCCAGAGTTTGTTCTGCTCCTCGTCCTCAGAGTCTTCGTCTTCATCTGGGGATGTTTCTGTGTCGTGTGACTCAGTTGGTTTTTCGTCCCCTGGACATGTTTTTGTATTTCGCCCATTTCCCCCGAGAAGAAGACAACTGAGCCACGTGACACAGAAACATCATCAGACTGAGGAAGAGCAGAGGGAGCAGAACAAACTGTCAGGACCAAAACCAACTCTGGGTCTGAAAAAAGAACCTGAGAACATAAATTATTAGAAGATCAAATGAACCTGACGGGTCTAGGATCTGAATCAAGTCCTGTACTAGAGGAGATATTAGTTTCTTTATTGATTAGTGCAGGTTTGGGCGACGTCCCTTTAATTGGCAGTTGACAAAGTTTACAGTGAATCATGATGGACGATGATCTTCCTTTTCTACTCAAACTGACGAGTGGACGTTTGTTTTTAGTACCAGTATTTACCAAAACCAAAAGTTAAAAGTGTAAGATGTGTAAAAAAACCTCTAAAGTCAAGATGAATGATAATTATTTGTGTAACCACATCATCGTCACGTCTCTGCAGGTTAAACCAGCTGCAGATTCTTTATATTTGTGATTTAACTGAAAGTGTAATTCCTGCAAACTCCACCGACAGAAGATCAGTGTTTGTGACAGGAGGAGGCGTCACCGCGGTGACTCTCCGTCCTGATGTTGGGGCGTCCGTTGGAACAACCGTAGATTAAAATCTGATTTTCGATGCCGTAGATTTGAAAAATAAAATACCGGTTGTTGAGGGCTCCTCCAAAGTCACAGTCACAGGGTCTGCAGCCGGCGAGGTCGTTACTGAGGCCCCAGAACTCTGGCTGCAAACAGAAGAAGAAGAAGAAGAAGAAGAAGAAGAAAGATCTGTGTGTGTGAGGTTCAATTCAATTTATACACAGAGAAGAAGAATCCAGAAGAATCCAGAAGAAGAGGAGCAGAGGAGATGATAAAAGTGAAGTGTTCCTCACCAGACACTGGTCGCAGTAGCGTCCGGTCACGTAGCGTTTACAGGAGCAGTCTCCACTGATCTGATCACACGGCGCCCCCTGCAGGACGATCCCCCGAGGGTCACAGTTACACGCTGCAAATACACACAGGGAGGGCATCTGACACAATCTGACACACAGAGACAGTCTGGGAGGGCATCTGACACAAGGGGAGGGGCATGAGACTCACGCTGGCAGCCGTCGGGGTCGCTCAGGCTCAGGCCGTAGTGTCCTTCTTTACAGTCGTCACATCTGAGGCCTCGGACGTTGGATTTACACCGACACTGACCTGAGATCTGCCCCAGGTCCAGGTCAGTGTGACTGTCACACACTCCCCCCTCCACAGAGCCGACCGGGTCACAGTCACACGCTGAGGAGGAGATGAGGTCATTAGTTGGGACTGATGTGATGTAAACACACTCAGAGATTTGTATTTTGTGTTTATATATTTAGGACAAACTGCAGAAATTATATTTAATATATTGACATAAAAAATCATCTAAACAAACTCAGTCTGGACTTGGACCTGGACCTGGACCTGGACCTGGACCTGGACCAGGACCTGGACCTGGACCTGGACCTGCCACGTCCTGAAGACGCTGCTACAAAACATCAGCTTTAAACTTCAAAAAGTGAATTCTACCAAATAAATCTGTCTCAGATAAAAACCTTTAAAGGAATTTAAAAAGAGAAAGACTCAGGAGCAACTGTGACGCAGGTCAAAGGTCAAAGGTCAGAGTCTGAGGAAGTTTGGGTTTGAACGTCTCAGACTAAAGATAAATCTGACTCCTTCAGGGACGTGTTTTGTCCTCCAGACTTTAAACTAAAACATCTTTACAAAAACACAGAATAAACTGGAGTTTAACAAAAAATAATAATGTGATAAAAACCACCGACCCACAAGAGGAGAGACCCCCCAGAGTCTCTCTGTGTATTCACCTGCTGCCACAGGAGGCGCTGTCGGGCCTCGTCTTCCTCTTTGGGGCTTTTTTACAAACTCCAAATTTCACAATTCTGAACAAATAATTTTCACCAAATCTGAATTTGGTGAGAGTCCCTCACTGACCCCTCACCCCCCAAGAACAACTCAGTTTGTACCATCTGTGTTACATAGTGTTACAGTCGTACGCTGGCAGACTTGTGGGTCCCTCTGGGGTGTGTGTATTATAATAGTGTTACAGTCGTACACTGGCAGACTTGTGGGTCCCTCTGGGGTGTGTGTATTATAATAGTGTTACAGTCGTACACTGGCAGACTTGTGGGTCCCTCTGGGGTGTGTGTATTATAATAGTGTTACAGTCGTACGCTGGCAGACTTGTGGGTCCCTCAGGTCCCTCTGGGGGTCCTTGTAGTAGAAGGGTCTGCAGCTCTCACAGTGGCGCCCCATAGTGTTGTGGAGGCACTGGTCACACACTCCTCCGCTGCTGTTTCCTGTGGCCAAGTACACCGCCATGTCGAAGTGACAGGAAGAGGCGTGGCCATTACACTCGCACTCTGAGAGACGCACAGAAGAGACGAAGAGGAAGAGGAGAGATGAGACAAACATCAGCCGTGGACGTCAGAATCAGTTTTATTGTGAACAAAACTCACAAACTGTAAACATGTTTCGATGTTGTGTGTTAATAACAAACCAATCAGGAGCCTTCTTTCCCCGAGGTCCCTTCAGCTATCATTTTAACAATCTTTCTGCTGATTGGCTCACACGCTGATTTCAAAATATGGTCCCTGAGCTTCATTTTGTTGGAGCCTACTTCTGAGGACAGTCTCTGATCTGAACTCTCTGCATCAGCGGTGCCTCCAACTTGGCTGAGCTCCAGGGTGTGGTTTCTTACAGGTGTGTTACCTTGTGTGGGCGGGGCTTACATATATAAGGGGTGGGGTTACAGGTGTGTGGGCGGGGTTATGGACGTGTCTCTCACCTCTACAGCTGTGGAGTCATGGACCTCGGCCGGGCTCCAGTTCAGGTCGTGGTTTGCCTTGGATGGTGTTTCTTACAGATGTGTTGGGGTGTGCTTTACCTGTATGTGGGCGGGGCTTACAGGTGTATGTGGGCGGGGTTAGGAGCGTGTCTCACCTCTACAGGCGTGCGAGTCCTCGGCCTCGGCCGGACTCCAGGGCAGGTCGTGGTGAAAGTCTTTGCAGCGTTCACAGTTCAGTCCCTCAGTGTTGTGTTTGCAAACGCACCGACCGTGGATCTGAAAGAGACGCAAGTGTGACAGGTGCCCTCCCACTGTGTGTCAGGTGCCCCTCCCCGTGTGTCAGGTGCCCTCCCCGTGTGTCAGATTGTGCCGGATGCCCTCCCTCACCATGCCGCTCTCCCTGGCGTTGACGCCGGGCACGGGGGCGCACTCGGAGGCGTGGCCGTAGCAGAAGCAGCTCCCGCGCACCACCAGCTCTTTGATGGCGTAGTAATACTTCTGTAACACGTCGGAGCGTCGGTCGAGCAGGTCGTCCCCCAGCGTGTTCAGCTTCGTCAGGTTTATGCGAAGGTTCGTGATCCGCAGCAGCTCTGAGACGAACAAACGAACGAGACGAAACAGGATCAGAGTCAGGGCGAGGGCTGCGTGTGTGTCGCCTCGATCGAGACCAAGACTAGACCCAGACCACAGGGTCCCGAGACCAGGACGAGACCAAGACCTCTGAGGGTCGAGGCCGAGACTTTTAAAGGTCAAGACCAATATAAGACCGAGACTTTTAAAGACAAGACCAAGATTTTCAAAGGTCGAGACTGAGACAAGACCAAACCCACGACCAATTGAGACCAAATCAATTAATTATTCTGGCAGAAATATATCAATATTTTCATAAATCTATCTCCATTTTATCAGATAAATGTTAATTTAGGCATAAAAACGCCAAACAAACTGTTCGGCACTGAAACATTCTGTGCCCCTTTTTGGATCCACACCCACAGTTTGAGGAACTCTGAACTTCCACTGACACTTGACAGAAAACTATGTCAAAGTGAAGAAAATGGGTGGAATTTTTTTTTTTTTTTTTTTTTGTCTGCGGGCTCCAGGTGAGCGACAGGTGCAAGTATAAATAAAGTGAGACTGTCGTACAGACCCTGGATGTCGAGGCTGTACGGGTCCTTCACGTGGATCGCCGGGTCCAGGACTTTGTAAATCACCTGTGACAAAAAACAAACTCAAATAAAAATGTTTATGGAATTATTAAAGATTAAATATTCAGATTTTTATGTTTCAGTCTGCAGTGTCGGGCAGGTGTAGTGTCAGGCGGGTGCCCTGTCAGGCGGGTGCCCTGTCAGGCGGGTGCCCTGTCAGGCGGGTGCCCTGTCAGGCGGGTGCGTGCGTCTCACCTCTCCGTCGGTGGAGGGTTCGATGTCGGAGTAGCGTTCTTCACAGATGACGTCGTTGATGTGGCGCAGACCAGCAGAGGGCACCAGAGGGAAGATCCGGGAACAGTTCTGGGCGAAGTATCGATACGGACGCCAAGTCCGACCGAAGTCTGACGAACGCTCGATGATCATCGCCGCAGGACGAAAAGTCTGAGGGACGAGAGGGATTAAACCAGGACTAAAACAGGACTAAAACAGAACTAAACCAGGACTAAACCAGGACTAAACCAGGACTAAACCAGGACTAAACCAGGACTAAACCAGGACTAAACCAGGACTAAACCAGGACTAAACCAGGACATGTGGCGGGAGCTCAGGTCGGGCGTTTGTCACTGATCTGACGGTCGGTGGTTTGAGTCCTGATTCCAGCTCCACAGATGAATGATGCCAGTGTGTCCTTGGGCAAGACACTTAACCCCACTTGCCCCCAGTGAGTGTGTGTGTTGTGTGTGTGTGTGTGTTGTGTGTGTTGTGTGTGTGTGTGTGTTTTTTTGTTAGTTCTGTATAAAAAGTCGTTCATCATTCAGACAAATTTTATTGATCTGGAGGGAAATGATTTTAATGAGCAGATGCACACAGTGTGTCAGGGGTAATTACACAAACATTTACAGACCTGTCAGGTGTGTGTGTGTGTGTGTGTGTGTGTGTGTGTGTGTGTGTGTGTGTGTGTGTGTGTGTGTGTGTGTGTGTGTGTGTGTGTGTGTGTGTGTGTGTGTGTGTGTGTGTGTGTGTGTGTGTGTGTGTGTGTGTGTGTGTGTGTGTGTGTGTGTGTGTGTGTGTGTGTGTGTGTGTGTGTGTGTGTGTGTGTGTGTGTGTGTGTGTGTGTGTGTGTGTGTGTGTGTGTGTGTGTGTGTGTGTGTGTGTGTGTGTGTGTGTGTGTGTGTGTGTGTGTGTGTGTGTGTGTATGTGTGTGTGTGTGTGTGTGTGTGTGTGTGTGTGTGTGTGTGTGTGTGTGTGTGTGTGTGTGTGTGTGTGTGTGTGTGTGTGTGTGTGTGTGTGTGTGTGTGTGTGTGTGTGTGTGTGTGTGTGTGTGTGTGTGTCTGTGTGTGTGTGTGTGTGTGTGTGTGTGTGTGTGTGTGTGTGTGTGTGTGTGTGTGTGTGTGTGTGTGTGTTGTGTGTGTGTGTGTGTGTGTGTGTGTGTGTGTGTGTGTGTGTGTGTGTGTGTGTGTGTGTGTGTGTGTGTGTGTGTGTGTGTGTGTGTGTGTGTGTGTGTGTGTGTGTGTGTGTGTTGTGTGTGTGTTTGGAGCTGTCGGTGAAACGTGGATTTATGTCGTTCCTCAGATTTTCACAACAAACCTCACAATGAGGAAAGAATGTGACGACGAGTAGCGAACAACAAACACGAGCACGAGCAGACGAACACACGCACGGCACGGCACGGCACGACGGGCACGCACGGCACGGGGCACGGGCACGGGCACGGGCACGGGCACGAGCACGGGCACGAGCACGGGCACGAGCACGGGCACGAGCACGGGCACGCTCATGAACCCACGTGCACGCTCACAGACCTGCTTTTACCTTTGAAGACTCAAACCCAGACCTGCTGTAGTCCTGATTAAGTTCAGTCTTTATTTAGTCCCGGTATAGTCCCAGTTCAGTCCCGGTTCAGTCCCGGTTTAGTCCTGGTTCAGTCCCTGGTTTAGACCTGGTTTAGTCCTGGTCTTGTACCTTGAACTTGATGATGAGGTGGGTGAAGTGGAACTCGGCCTCCAGGTTCAGTCTGATGCTCACGTTTTCTTCTCCTGAAAATAAAAACGTCAATGACAAATGACAAAAGAGAATTTAAGTCGACAGAAAAACAGTTTCCTGTTTCATTTTGTCAGATTAAATTTAAATCTGTTATCAGAATAAAACTTTATTTTATTTTATTTAACTCAGGTGTATACACAAGGTGTACTCGGGTGTACTCAGGTGTAAGGTGTCACAGTTACTCAGGTGTACTCGGGTGTACACAGGTGTACAGGTGTACAAGTGTACTCAGGTGTACGGGTGTACTCGGTGGGTGTACTCGGGTGTACTCAGGTGTACACAGGTGTACTCAGGTGTAGGTGTACACAGGTGTACAGGTGTAGTCAGGTGTACAGGTGTAGTCAGGTGTAGTCAGGTGTACACAGGTGTACTCAGGTGTAGTCGGGTGTACACAGGTGTACTCAGGTGTAGTCAGGTGTACACAGGTGTACTCAGGTGTACTCGGGTGTAGTCAGGTGTACACAGGTGTACACAGGTGTACACAGGTGTACACAGGTGTACTCGGGTGTAGTCAGGTGTACACAGGTGTACACAGGTGTACTCAGGTGTACTCGGGTGTACACAGGTGTACTCAGGTGTAGTCGGGTGTACACAGGTGTACTCAGGTGTACTCAGGTGTAGTCAGGTGTACACAGGTGTACTCAGGTGTAGTCAGGTGTACACAGGTGTACTCGGGTGTACACAAGTGTACTCAGGTGTAGTCGGGTGTACACAGGTGTACTCAGGTGTACTCAGGGTGTAGGTGTCAGGTGTACACTCAGGTGGTGTACTCGGTGTACACAGGTACAGGTGTAGTCAGGTGTACACAGTCAGGTGTACTCGGGTGTACAGGTGTACTCAGGTGTACACAGGTGTACTCGGGTGTACACAGGTGTAGGTGTACACAGGTGTACAGGTGTACTCGGTGTACTCGGGTGTACAGGTGTACAGTGTACTCGTCAGGTGTACTCAGGTGTCAGGTGTACACAGGTGTACTCGGGTGTACACAGGTGGTGTACTCAGGTGTAGGTGTCAGGGTGTAGGTGTAGTCAGGTGTACACAGGTGTACACAGGTGTAGGTGTACAGGTGTAGGTGTACACAGTGTAGTCAGGTGTCAGGTGTACTCAGGTGTAGGTGTCAGGTGTACACAGGTGTACAGGTGTACAGGGTGTACAGGTGTCAGGTGTACTCAGGTGTCAGTCAGGTGTACAGGTGTAGGTGTACACGGGTGTACAGGTGTACTCAGGTGTACTCAGGTGTACTCAGGTGTACACAGGTGTACTCAGGTGTACTCAGGTGTACTCAGGTGTACTCAGGTGTACTCAGGTGTACTCAGGTGTACTCAGGTGTACACGGGTGTAGGTGTACAGGTGTACAGGTGTACACAGGTGTACACAGGTGTACTCAGGTGTACTCAGGTGTACTCAGTCAGTCGTACCGTTGACAGACTGCCACCAGGTGTGCTCTCCTCGTCGGTCCGTCAGGTAGATGACGTTGTCGATCTGGTGGCTCTGGCGGTTGTAGTCGGGGTCGTACGGAGCTCGAGAGTCACACTCAAAACATTTATCTGACTCCTGGAGAACAACAACACAGAGGTCACACAGAGGTCACACACACAGGTCACACAGAGGTCACACACAGGTCACACAGAGGTCACACACAGGTCACACACAGGTCACACACAGGTCACATTAAAAGTGTAAATAATTCACATGTTACTTCTTTGTTTCTTCACAAAAACACAAACTCAGTCGTGTGAAAAGTGTCGACGATTCTGTCCTGAGGAGAACAGTGTCTGTGTGTCTGAAGAACCACAGCGAAAATATCACTTCTACCCAGAAAGAAATATTCTCATAGAACACAATGTAAACACAAACTACTGCTGACAGGGGCTGACAGGGGCTGACTGACAGGGACTGACAGGGACTGACAGGGGCTGACAGGGACCTGACAGGGACCTACAACTTTAAAAAATGTTGGATTTTGTGGCAATTTTTTATCTTTTTTTTTTTATCATAAACTCTTAGCTCAAAATCCTTCCGTCGTCTTCAAAACAGTTTTATATTGCTTCGCTCTGATTGGTCAGAACTGCACATTGTGATGTCACACAGTGGGCGGGGCTAAGGCAGTACTCAGGTAAAGTCAAATTCAGTAAATAAATAAAGTAAAAACTGTTATGTGAGATTTTTAGAAAAGAGAGAGAAGAGGAAGGAGAGAAAGAGAGGAGGAAGAGTAGAGCAGGTGTGTGTGTGTGTGTGTGTGTGTGTGTGTGTGTGTGTGTGTGTGTGTGTGTGTGTGTGTGTGTGTGTGTGTGTGTGTTCGTCTGTGGGAGTCGTGAGAAACAGAACGAGGCCGAGGCCAAAGATAAGAAAAGAACGAGAAGAACAAACAAACGCAAGAAAACGAATAAACCTGAAGTCGTGAAGAAAGAAAGAAAGAAAGAAAGAAAGAAAGAAAGAAAGAAAGAAAGAAAGAAAGAAAGAAAGAAAGGAGTGGAAAAGAGTTAAAAACAAATAAAAGTAGAAAAGAGAAAGAAACGGAGAGGGGGAGAGGAGAAATGGGGTGAAAAAGAAAGAAAGAACGAAAGAGACCATGAGAAAAAGAGAGGGTACAGCGAGAGAGAGAAAGAGAGAAAGAAAGAGAAACAAGCAAAGAAAGACAGAGAGGAGAGGAAAGGAGTTAGAAAGAGTGAGAGGGAAGAGGGGGAGAGGAAGAAAGAAAGAAAGAAAGAGAGGAAAGAGTTAAATAAAGAGAGAGAAGAGGGAGGAGAGAGAAATGGGGTGAGCAGGACAGAGAGAGAGAGAGAGAGAACGCAAAAGAGGAAGAGAGAGAAAAGGGGAGTGGAAAAGAGAGAGAGCAGGGGTGGGGGAGGGAGGAGAGAAAGAAGAGAAACAAGCAAAGAAAGAAAGAAAGAAAGAGAAGTGAGAAATAGAAGAAAGAAGAGAGAGAGAGAAGAGAGAGAAAGAAGAGAGAGAGAGAGGGGGGAGGAGGAGGTGTAGTTGGCGGAGGGAAAAGCCAGATTCCAGGTCAGCGTTCTTAATGAAGCTGTTGCCGTGGCGATTAGCAACACGTCGTTAGAAAAACTCCAAATGAAAGAGAAAGAGAGAGAGAAGCACTAAAGATACAACCTGGAACATTCCCCACACCTGACCTTTAGACCTGGTTTAGACCTGGTTTAGTCCTGGTTTAGACCTGGTTTAGACCTGGTTTAGACCTGGTTTAGACCTGGTTTAGTCCTGGTTTAGTCCTGGTTTAGACCTGGTTTAGACCTGGTTTAGTCCTGGTTTACCTGGTTTAGACCTGGTTTAGTCCTGGTTTAGTCCTGGTTTAGTCCTGGTTTAGTCCTGGTTTAGTTTACCTGGTTTAGTCCTGGTTTAGTCCTGGTTTAGACCTGGTTTAGTCCTGGTTTAGACCTGGTTTACTGGTTTAGTCCTGGTTTAGTCCTGGTTTAGACCTGGTTTAGTCCTGGTTTAGTCCTGGTTTAGTCCTGGTTAGTCCTGGTTTAGTTTAGTCCTGGTTTAGACCTGGTTTAGTCCTGGTTTAGTCCTGGTTTAGTCCTGGTTTAGTCCTGGTTTAGTCCTGGTTTAGTCCTGGTTTAGTCCTGGTTTAGTCCTGGTTTAGTCCTGGTTTAGTCCTGGTTTAGACCTGGTTTAGTCCTGGTTTAGTCCATGACGATACAAAGCTGTATTGTGTAACTTTTCTGGTGGAAGCTCTGTTAAACGCTTGTTTCCATGGAGATGTTATTGCTTTTTTGTCAGGAATGTTCCACAGTACGGCATTAAACCTTTCTATCTCCATGGAGACCAAACTAGACGGTGTTCCAGGTCAGATCTGTGGAGAGGCGACTCCGCTCACTGTCACAATGTTTGTTTTTCAAGGTGTTTTTGAGACATAAATCCACCTGTGACTGAATAAATTGGAGAAAGTGAAGTTGTTTAAAGTCACACTGTGGAACATTTCAGACAGAACAGTGACGTCTCCATGGAAACAGGCAGGTGAAGGACCCTCCACTTCACCTCCCCCCGTGTGTTTTTCACTTGCTGCTCCTTTCAGAACGTGATTTAAGACGTGGACGTGTAAAAGTCTCAGCACAGATGTTCCTCCGACAGGCCCACACCTGCCACTCTGCACCTGCCACTCTGCACCTGCCACTCTGCACCTGCCACTCTGCACCTGCCACTCTGCACCTGTCACTCACACAGGAGACAGGTGCGGCGGAGGGTCCTGCCCCAGACGGTGTGTTTTTACTGTAACACGTCTCATTCAGATCATGATCCTGTTTTTGTTTTAAAAATGTTTTATTCGTCCAAAAACAACAGATTTACATCTCTGTGCTAAGTTGCTCCCCCTTCAGAGCACTGTCATACACACTCAAGGCCGTTTTATATTTCTGCGTCGGCTCGTCTCACTCTGCCGCCGTCGCCTTGTTGATGTTGTTTTGATTTATGGATCTGAGTGGAGGTTTCTGCACCGCCGTGTAATTCACCTCCACACCACCAGGAGGCGACGATTTAAACCCGTTTGTGTTTGTGGAGAACAGGAAGTGTGTGTAGAGCCGACGCAGAGACGACCAATCACAGCTCAGATCGTCTGTGTAGTTCTAAACGTCCGGAGGTGCACGTCGGTCGGCGCAGACGCTCTGAGGACGATTTGACGCACGAACGTAAACTGGACGTCAGAGCTTCTCAGTAGCTCAGGTTCAGTCACGTGATCATGACGACGCGCGAAATTCAAGTCTAGAGCAGGAACTGAAGCCAAACACGACAAACACGACAAACAAACACGACAAACACGACAAACAAACAGGACAAACAAACAGGACAAACACGTCTGTGGAGAAGAGTTTTTATTGTGAGGATTTCGAGGCAGGAGCGAGACAAAAGTACGATAAGTTTAATAAATATATTGGACGTGACGACAGATGCAGACGTACAAAAGTCTGGAGGTGTGTGTGTTTTTGTCAGTGGATGGTTGAACAAAACACCTCCATGATGATTACTGTTTGGTCTTCTCCAGGTTGAGTGTTTTTCTTTCTGTCCGAACTATTTAATGTCAACAAACGACTTTGGCCAAACAGTCGTTAATGGTTTGTTTATGTTCAGGTAAATCGCTCAAGATCAGATGAAACTCGTAAAGACACAGATGTGGATTATTGTGCAGGAGGATGGAGACGTCTGCACTTCACTGTGTCAGATCTTTATTTTACACTGTCACTGTTTTTTCCTCCCTGAACGTCGCCGTGTCGAGGTGGAGATGTTTGAGTCTGAATGATCCTGGAGTTTTGTTGTTGGACGTTTCATGTTCCTGGTCACTCAAGACAAACAGGTCCTGGGACGGGTCAGACCAAGAGCAGTTCAGAAGCTCTTCATGATGAAGACCACACAGGTCTGGGGCGGGTGACCGGGTCTTCACCCATGAGGCTCAGGCTGAAGGAGCGACGTGGTTCTGTTATTGAACTTCTGTGTGAGTCACAGTTTGTCCAGAACCAACACCATGTTCAGCACAAGGTCCATCAGTGCACGAGGCACCAGGACGTCCTCGGCCTGGAGGTCCATGATCCACTTTGTAGTCGTGTCATGTGACCTCCGGCCGTTTGTGTTTTGGACACTCGGGTGAAGAGAGTCAGAGCTGTAGAACTTCTCCTGGATTCCAGGAGGAGTCTGGGGACATGGAGTCTGGTTTTCTTTCTCGGCCTCTGTTATCGCCGCTCGGAGCTGTGGGCGTAAAGTCTGTGGAGCCTGTCGCAGCAGGAACCCCCGAACTCAGTGGTGGACACCAGAAGTAAGAGATGAAGGAGGAGTCCTGAGGCAGCTGACGGGCACCAGTCCAGGGTTTAGACCTGGTTTAGACCTGGTTTAGACCTGGTTTAGACCTGGTTCAGGTCGTTATCTGTTTTTTCCAGTTTTCATTTAAACACAAAATCGAAAAACAGAAAAAACAAACTGTTATCTGTTTTTTCATTTTGGCTTTGGAGTCAAATAATGAATTTAAAAAATAATTTTTTTTTCATTTTCTTATTTTTGGTTTTATTTTGTAAAATGAATGAACGAATGACACACAGATTCAACAGACAGGAGCAGACAGGAGCAGACAGGAGCAGACAGGAGCAGACAGGGGCAGGTCGGGGCAGGTCTTGTGTGTAAACTGTGGGTCGGGGGGGGGGGGAGACACTCGCGCTGAAGCTCTGGAGGAGAAGATCCATGTCAGAGGGAAACACTCAAACTAAACTCTGCCTCAGGCTCGGAAACTCAGACTTAAACTGTCAACGTCAAACTCAGAGAAACAAACTCCGACGGATCCGGATAAACCCGCCCCTGTGACCTCTGACCTCTGACCTCTGACCCCGCGGATCCTTCTGCTCCAACTGTGACGTTTCAAATCCCAATGTTCATCTGAAACGACTGAAAGATCTGAGCAGAACCGTTAGAGGAACAGCTCTGAGTTAAAGCTGAACTCTGTCACTTTTCTGTCTCCATGGAGATACAGTCCACGCGTCGTCATGGCAACAAGCTCGTCTATTTCCAGGTCAGGGTCCAGGTCAGATCTGCAGAGAGGCGAGCAGTCTGTGTGTGATTCCTTCATTTGTTTTTCAAAATAAAACTAAAAATGAGAAAATTAAACAATGATTTTCTTCATTATTTTTCTCCAAAAACCAAAATGAAAAAACAGATAACGGACTGAACCAGGACTAAACCAGGACTGAACCAGGACTAAACCAGGACTGAACCAGGACTAAACCAGGACTGAACCAGGACTAAACCAGGACTAAACCAGGACTAAAACCAGGACTGAACCAGGACTAAACCAGGACTAAACCAGGACTGAACCAGGACTAAACCAGGACTTAAACCAGGACTAAACCAGGACTAAACCAGGACTAAACCAGGACTGAACCAGGACTAAACAGGACTAAACCAGGACTGGAAACCAGGACTAAACCAGGACTAAACCAGGACTAAACCCAGGACTAAACCAGGACTGAACCAGGACCAGGACTGAACCAGGACTAAACCAGGACTGAACCAGGACTGAACCAGGACTAAACCAGGACTTAAACCGGAAACAGGACCAGGACTGAGACTGGGACCAGATTGGAAATGAGACAGGACTGAGACCAGGAACTGGAACAAACCTGAGACTGAGACTGGGACTGAGGCCAGGACCAAACTGGGACTGAGACTTGGACTGAGACTGGGACCAAACTGGGACCAAACTGGGACTGAGACTGGGACCAGATCAGGACCAGACCATGACTGAGACTGGGACTGGGACTGAGACTGAGACTGAGACCGAGACTGAGGCCGGGACCAGACCAGGACCAGACTGGGACTGAAAGTAGTCCTGGTTTAGTCCTGGTTAAGTCCTGGTTTAGTCCTGGTTTAGTCCTAGTTTAGTCCTGGTTTAGTTCTGGTTTAGTCCTGGTTTAGTTCTGGTTTAGACCTGGAATAGTTCTGGTTTAGACCTGGTTTAGTCCTGGTAGACCTGGAATAGACCTGGTTTAGTCCTGGTTTAGTCCTGGTTAGTCCTGGTTCAGTCCTGGTTAGTCCTTAGTCCTGGTTTAGTCCTGGTTCAGTCCTGGTTTAGTCCTGGTTAGTCCTGGTTAGTCCTGTTTAGTCCTGGTTAGTCCTGGTTAGTCCTGGTTCAGTCCTGGTTTAGTCCTGGTTTAGTCCTGGTTTAGTCCTGGTTCAGTCCTGGGTCCTGTTTAAGTCCTGGTTAGTCCTGGTTTAGTCCTGGTTTAGTCCTGGTTTAGTCCTGGTTCAGTCCTGGTTTAGTCCTGGTTTAGTCCTGGTTTAGTCCTGGTTAAGTCTGTTATCCATTTTTGTCACTTCATTTAAACACAAAAACGAAAACAAAAAAAACGAATCATTTTCTGTTTTTTAATTTTGGTTTTGGAGACAAATAATGAAGGAAATTGTTTTTTTCATTTTCTGTTCTATTGTTGGTTTTATTTTGAAAAACGACTGGATGATTGACACACAGACGTTCGTCCGCTCAGTGTGAAAGGAAAAAAAAATAAAGAAGTAAACGACAGGAGCTGATGGACGACGGAGCAAAAAGCAAACACACACGACAGGAGCTGTGGGCAGGTGCAGACAGGTGCAGACAGGTGGGTTTACAGAGCGAGGACCCCTCCCTGACACACACACACACACACAGAGACACACACACACACACACACACACACACACACACACACACACACACAGACACACACACACACACACACACACACACACACACACACACACACACACACACACACACACAGACACACACACACACAGAGACACACACACACACACACACAGACACACACACACACACACACACAGCACACACACACAGACACACACACACACACACACACACACACACACAGACACACACAACACACACACACACACAGACACACACACACACACACAGACACACACACACACACACACAGACACACACACACAGACACACACACACACACACACACAGAGCACACACACACACACACAGAGACACACACACACACACACACAGCACACACACACAACACACACAACAGACACACACACACACACACACACACACACACACACACACACACACACACACACACAGACACACACACACACACACACACACACAGAGACACACACACACACACACACAGACACACACACACAGACACACACACACACAGACACACACACACACACACACACAGACACACACACACAGCACACACACACACACACACACACACAGACACACACACACACACACACACAGACACACACACACACACAGACACACACACACACACACACACACACACACACACACACACACACACACACACACACACACACACACACAGCACACACACACACAGACACACACACAGACACACACACACACACAGAGACACACACACACACACACACACACACACACACACACACACAGACACACACACACACACAGACACACACACACACACACACACACACACACACAGACACACACACACACTCAGGGAGGGGCTGAGTAAACACATGAGTTCACTCTGTGTCATGTTTGCAGGTTCTGGTTGCCTTTGTGTCCTCGGGCAAGACTCTTCTCTGTGTGTGAACGTGTCTGTGTGACTGAGACGATTTTCTGCTTCTTAAACAGAGACACACACGACTCAGTCACACAGTGTGCAGTGACGCGCTCTGACCTGCAGGGGGCGTGTGGCAGGTGCAGTAGAGTAGATAAACCACACAGCAGAGTGTTCAGACTGAAGCTTCCTCAGAAAATGAACTGAAAAGTTACAACTTTAAGAATCAAAATCACAACATGAAATGAAACTCTTCAGTACGAACACGAACTCACAGACCAGAAACACCACACACTGAACCAGGACTAAACCAGGACTGAACCAGGACTAAACCAGGACTAAACCAGGACTAAACCAGGACTAATCCAGGACTAAACCAGAACTGAACCAGGACTAAACCAGGACTAAACCAGGACTAAACCAGGACTAACCAGGACTAACCAGGAAACCAGGACTAAACCAGGACTAATCTAGGACTGATTCCAGAACTAAACCAGGACTAAACCAGGACTGAACCAGGACTTACTGTCTGAAGGAGGTTTGCCCGTGTGACCGAGGGCAGAGCTCCACACTGCACGAGGTAAGAGCAGCTGTCACCCATCACACTTTACAGACTCTGCTCCACGGGCTCAGGGTTCTCTCTCTCTTGAGTCCAAGATTAGTCCTGGTCTAGTCCTGGTCTAGTCCTGGTCTAGTCCTGGTCTAGTCCTGGTTTAGTCCTGGTTTAGTCCTGTCTAGTCCTTAGTCCTGGTCTAGTCCTGGTCTAGTCCTGGTCTAGTCCTGGTTTAGTCCTGGTCTAGTCCTGTTTAGTCCTGGTCTAGTCCTGGTTTAGTCCTGGTCTAGTCCTGGTTCTAGTCCTGGTTTAGTCCTGGTCTAGTCCTGGTCTAGTCCTGGTTTAGTCCTGGTTTAGTCCTGGTCTAGTCCTGGTCTAGTCCTGGTTTAGTCCTGGTTTAGTCCTGGTTAGTCCTGGTCTAGTCCTGGTCTAGTCCTGGTCTAGTCCTGGTTTAGTCCTGGTTTAGTCCTGACCCACTCGTGTGTAATCACGCGCTCATAACATTCCAGAACTTTAAAATCCGCCCGTTTCAGCCATTATTTGCCCGCACCTGTCGAGTGCAGGACTCTGAGGTGCAGTAGCGCGACGTCACCTGCAGGTGGCGTGCGGTGTGTGGTGGGTGCAGTGTCAGGTGCAGTGGCAGGTGCAGTGGCAGGTGTAATGTGGCGCTCTGACCTGCAGGTGGCTGACGATGCAGTACTGCTGGCAGGTGTGTGTGCAGTTGTATTGTGTCAGTGTCAGGTGCAGTGTCAGTGCAGTGTCAGGTGTCAGTTGTCAGGTGCAGTGTCAGGTGCAGTGTCAGGGTGCAGTGTCAGGTGCAGTGTCAGGTTGCAGTGTCAGGTGCAGTGTCAGGTGCAGTGTCAGTGTCAGGTGCAGTGTCAGGTGCAGTGTCAGTGAGTGTCAGGTCAGGTGCAGTGTCAGGTGTGCAGTGTCAGGTGTCAGTGTCAGTGGTGCAGTGTCAGGTGCAGTGTCAGGTGTCAGTGTCATGTCAGGTGCAGTGTCAGGTGCAGTGTCAGGTGCAGTGTCAGTGTGTCAGTTGTGCAGTGTCAGGTGCAGTGTCAGTGTGCAGTGTGTCAGTAGTGTCAGGTGTCAGTGTCAGGTGTCGGTGTCAGTGTGTGCATGTCAGGTGTCAGTGTCAGTGTCAGGTGTCAGTGTCAGGTGTCAGTGCAGTGTCAGTGCAGTGTCAGGTGTGTGTCAGTGTCAGGTGCAGTGTCAGTGTCAGGTGTCAGTGTCAGGTGCAGTGTCAGGTGCAGTGTCAGGTGTATTGTCAGGTGTCAGTGTCAGGTGCAGTGTCAGGTGCAGTGTCAGGTGCAGTGTGCAGTGTCAGTGTCAGTGTCAGTGTCAGTGTGTCAGTGTGCAGGTGTCAGGTGTATTGTCAGGTGTATTGTCAGGTGCAGTGTCAGGTGCAGTGTCAGGTGTCAGTGCAGTGTCAGGTGCAGTGTCAGGTGTCAGTGTCAGTGTCAGGTGTGTCAGGTGTATTGTCAGGTTGTCAGTGTCAGGTGCAGTGTCAGGTGTGCAGTGCAGGTGCAGTGTCAGGTGCAGTGTCAGGTGCGGTGGTGTTACCTGCAGGTGGCTGACGATGCAGTACTGCTCAGGTGAGCTCAGGCCGCAGGTGGAGGAGGAGCTCAGGTTCACGGCTCGACCAATCAGGAGGTTCCCTGTCGCCGGGTAACAGCTGCCGTCTGCGCAGCCGTGAGGAGCAGACGGGTCCTGACAGGCCACGCCCACAACTGCACGAGAGAACGGCAGCAAAATCAATAAAACACCGAGCCCCGACCCTCCCTCTGCTCTCTGTGCTGAGTCCCTCCCCCTTCAGAGCGTCGCACTCATGAGACTCCTGCACGAACATCAGGTTTGTCCAGACGCTGTGTGCAGTTTGTGTCGGGCTTTTGTGCGTTTATGGAGGATTGTCGTGTGGAGCATGTGGGCGGAGCCTCGTACAGTCTCGTACTGCGGGAGCATGTGGGACGTAGGCTTGTGGGCGGAGCCTCGCGCAGGAGAGATCTCTAGATGGCTCAAACATGCATAGACGACTCTAAAACTTCTTCAGACGGGTTTGTGATGAAGAACGACGTTAGAACATGAGAGAAAAAGACTAAAGTTAGAACATGAGAGAACGTTAGAACACAAGACTAAAGTTAGAACAAGAAAGAACGTTAGAACACAAGACTAAAGTTAGAACATGAGAACGTTAGAACACAAGACTAAAGTTAGAACATGAGAACGTTAGAACACAAGACTAAAGTTAGAACATGAGAACGTTAGAACACAAGACTAAAAGTTAGAACATGAGAGAACGTTAGAACACAAGACTAAAGTTAGAACATGAGAACGTTAGAACACAAGACTAAAGTTAGAACATGAGAACGTTAGAACACAAGACTAAAGTTAGAACATGAGAAGAACGTTAGAACACAAGACTAAAGTTAGAACATGAGAACGTTAGAACACAAGACTAAAGTTAGAACATGAGAACGTTAGAACACAAGACTAAAGTTAGAACATGAGAACGTTAGAACATGAGACGAAGTTAGAACATGAGACTAAAGTTAGAGACTAAAGTTAGAACATGAGACTAAAGTTAGAACATGAGAGAACGTTAGAACATGAGACGATGTTAGAACATGAGACGAGTTAGAACATGAGACTAAAGTTAGAACATGAGACTAAAGTTAGAACATAGAACATGAGACGATGTTAGAACATGAGACGATGTTAGAACATGAGACTAAAGTTAGAACATGAGACGAAAGTTAGAACATGAGACAAATTAGAACATGAAGACTAGAACATGAGACGAGTTAGAACATGAGACGATGTTAGAACATGAGAGAACGTTTAGAACATAGAAGAGACGTTAGAACATGAGACGATGTTAGAACATGAGACGATGTTAGAACATGAGACGACGTTAGAACATGAGACGACGTTAGAACATGAGACAAAAGTTAGAACATGAGACGATGTTAGAACATGAGACTAAAGTTAGAACATGAGACGAACGTTAGAACATGAGACGATGTTAGAACATGAGACGACGTTAGAACATGAGACGATGTTAGAACATGAGACGATGTTAGAACATGAGACTAAAGTTAGAACATGAGACGACGTTAGAACATGAGACGATGTTAGAACATGAGACTAAAGTTAGAACATGAGACGATGTTAGAACATGAGACGATAGTTAGAACATGAGACGATGTTAGAACATGAGACTAAAGTTAGAACATGAGACGATGTTAGAACATGAGATGATGTTAGAACACGAGACAAACACGTCTCTTTAAGCGCGTGAGCCGGAGGCAGAGCAGTTTGTGTTTGGGATGCGGGCGAGCGCTGATGACATCTCCGTCCTCTTCGTTTGGGACGTGTTTGGACGCGCACACGTATGTACAGAACCCCCGGAATGTGCAGAGGAAACAGACGCTCTGCTCCGGCTCAAGGTTCCTGTTCACAGGCGCCATTTTGAGGACTTATGACCCACTGAAGCTCCGCCCCCCCGTCCAGGTGTGAAACATCACCTGTCAAAACCAGGACTAAACCAGGACTAAACCAGGTCTAAACCAGGACTAAACCAGGTCTAAACCAGGTCTAAACCAGGACTAAACCAGGACTAAACAGGACTAAACTAAACAGGACTAAACAGGACTAAACCAAAACTAAACCAGGACTAAACAGGACTAAACCAGAACTAAACCAGGACTAAACCAGAACTAAACCAGACTAAAACCAGGTCTAAACCAGAACTAAACCAGGACTAAACCAGAACTAAACCAGGACTACACCAGGTCTAAACCAGAACTAAACCAAAACTGAACCAGGTCTAAACCAGGTCTAAACCAGGACTAAACCAGGACTAAAACAAGTGTGTGTGTGTGTGTGTTGTCAGGTCCCTCCAGTGTGTGTCAGTTGTGTGTGTCAGTGTGTGTCAGGTCCCTCCAGTGTGTGTCTCAGTGTGTGTGGGTCATGTGTGTGTGTCTCGGGTCAGTGTGTGTCTTGGGTCAGTGTGTGTGTGTCTCGGTCGTGGTCAGGTCCTCGTGTGTGTGTCTTGGGTCAGTGTGTGTCAGGCCTCGTGTTGTGTCAGGTCCCTCCTCGTGTGTGTCATGGGTCAGTGTGTGTCTTGGGTCAGTGTGTGTGTGTCTCGGGTCAGTGTGTGTCAGGTCCTCGTGTGTGTGTCTCGTGTGTGTCAGGTTCCTCGTGTGTGTGTCTTGGTCAGTGTGTGTCAGGTCCCTCGTGTGTGTGTCTTGGGTCAGTGTGTGTCAGGTCCCTCGTGTGTGTGTCAGGTCCTCCTGTGTGTGTGTCGGTGTCAGTGGTGTGGTCCAGGTGTGTGTGTTCAGGTCAGGTCAGGTCTCGTGTGTGTGTCATGGGTCAGTGTGTGTCAGTCTTCGTGTGTGTCATGTCAGTGTGTGTGTGTCGGGTCAATGTGTGTCCTCTCGTGTGTGTGTCATGGGTCAGTGTTGTCAGGTCTCGTGTTGTCTGGGTCAGTGTGTGTCAGTCCCTGTGTGTGTTCGGGTCAGTGTGTGTCAGGTCCCTCGTGTGTGTGTCAGGTCAGTGTGTGTCATGGGTACAGTGTGTCTTGGCAGTCAGTGTGTGTCAGTCCGTGTGTGTGTCTCGTCATGTCAGTGTCTGTTGTCATGTCAGTGTGGTCAGTGTCTCGGTCAGTGTGTGTCTGGTGTTCAGTGTGTGTCAGTGTGTGTGTCTCGTGTGTGTTCATGGGTCAGTGTGTGGTCAGTCTCGTGTGTTCTGTCAGTGTGTGTCAGGTCTCGTGTGTGTGTCAGGTCAGTGTATGTCAGTGTTGTCAGGTTCGTGTGTTTGTGGTCAGTGTGTGTGTGTGGGTCAGTGTGTGTCAGGTCTCGTGTGTGTGTCATGGGTCAGTGTGTGTGTCAGTGTGTGTCAGTGGTGTGTCAGGTCTCGTTGTGTGAGTCGGGTCAGGTGTGTCAGGTCTCGTGTGTGTGTGTCATGGGTCAGTGTGTGTCAGGTCTCGTGTGTGTGTCATGGGTCAGTGTGTGTCAGGTCTGTGTGTTGTGGTCGTGTGGTGTGTGTGTGTGTCATGGGTCAGTGTGTGTCAGGTCTCGTGTGTGTGTCATGGGTCAGTGTGTGTGTCAGGTCTCGTGTGTGTGTCATGGGTCAGTGTGTGTCAGGTCTCGTGTGTGTGTCATGGGTCAGTGTGTGTCAGGTCTCGTGTGTGTGTCATGGGTCAGTGTGTGTCAGGTCTCGTGTGTGTGTCATGTGTGTGTCATGGGTCAGTGTGTGTCAGGTCTCGTGTGTGTGTCATGGGTCAGTGTGTGTCAGGTCTCGTGTGTGTGTCAGGGTCGTGTGTGTCAGGTCTGGGTCAGTGTGTGTGTCATGTGTGTCATGGGTCAGTGTGTGTCAGGTCTCATGTGTGTGTGTGTCATGGGTCAGTGTGTGTCAGGTCTCGTGTGTGTGTCATGGGTCAGTGTGTGTCATGTGTCAGTGTGTGTCATGGGTCAGTGTGTGTCATGGGTCAGTGTGTGTCAGGTCTCGTGTGTGTGTCATGGGTCAGTGTGTGTCAGGTCTCGTGTGTGTGTCATGGGTCAGTGTGTCAGTCGTGTTAATGTTTAAACTCATTCATAAAAACGTGTTTGAACAAAGAAAGAAAAACACACCTGAGACGGAGGAAAAGAGAGAGAAGAGAAGAGGGAGGGAAAGAATGAGCTCAGGTACAGGAGGAAAACACACCTCAGGAAGGAGGGAAAGAATGGAGGGAAAGAAGAAAGAAAGAGAGAAGAGAGAGAGAAGGAGGGAGAGAAGAAAAAGTTATGAGAGAGAGAGAGAGAGAGAGAGAGAGAGAGAGAGAGAGAGAGAGAGGGAGGACAGAAAGTGAGGGGCAGAAGGGAGAGAAGGAAGAGACAAGAAGGCGAAGCAAGAAAAGAGAGAGGAAGGACGAAGAAAAGAAAGAGGGAGGAGATAGAGAGAAAGAGAGAAAAGAGAAGAACGAGAGAGGAGAGAGAGAAGGAGAAGAATGAGTGAAAAAGAAAAGTGAGAGGAGGAAAGGCGGAGGTGCAGCGAGGTGAGAGAGAGAAACAGAGAAAGAGAGAGAGAGAGAGAGGTGTGTTTGTCTTTCTGTGAATTCTTGTGTATCTCGACACTTTACTACAACACACACACACACACACAACACACACACACACACACACACACACACACACACACACACACAGACACACACACACACACACACACAGACACACACACAGACACACACACACACACACACAGACACACACACACACACAGCACACACACACAGACACACACACACACACACAGACCACACAGACACACACACACACACACAGCACACACAGACACACACACACACACAGACACACACAGACACACACACACACAGACACACACACACACACACACACACACACACACACACACACACACAGACACACACAGACACACACACAGACACACACACACACACACACACACAGACACACACACACACACAGACACACACACACACACACACACACAGACACACACACACACACACACACACACACACACACACACAGACACACACACACACACACACACACACACACACACACACACACACACACACACACACACACACACACAGACACACACAGACACACACACACACACACAGACACACACACACAGACACACACACACACACACACACACACACACACACACACACACTCCCAGCGTGTGTGCGGCGTGCACTTCGGTCTCCGCGGCGACCACACACTGGCGTCTCCGTGGCGACCGAGCTCTGTTATTCTTATTCTAATTCCTCTGACACAAAACTCTGAAAAAAAAACAAAAAAAAAACTCCGAGGTCCACGAGAAAAGAACAAACCGACAACAGAGAGACGGAGAGAGAGAAAGAGAGAGAGAAAGAGAAAGAGAAAGAGAGGGAGGGAAAGAGAGAGACAGAGAGAGAGAGAGAGAGGCTAAAGGAATGCACCAACTTTCTAGAGAGAGAGAGAGAAAGAGAGGAGAGGAGGGGTGAAAGGAGAGAGGGAAAGACAAGTGGAGAGAGAGAGTGAGAGGAGAGGGAAGGGGAGAAACAAATGCACTTCAATTTCTATGGAGAGAGAGAGAAGAGAGAGAAGAGAGAGAGAGGGGGGCAAAAGGAATGTACCAACACTTTTTAGAGAGAAAAGAGAGAGAGAGAGAGAGAGACTATAGCAAAGAGGGAGTGAAGGTAAAGGGAAAGAGAGAGCAAGAGAAACAACTGAGAGAGAGAAGAGGAGAAGAGGAGAAGAGTCAGAGGAGCGATGAAAGAGAAGAGAGGCAGAGAGAGAGAGAGAGAGAGAGAGAGAGAGAGAGAGAGAGAGGAGGGGTAAAGGGGTAAAAGGAGAGAGAGATGATATGGAGCAGAAAAAGCGAGGGAGGGGGAGGAGAGATGAAAGTGAAAGAGAAGAATAGAGAGAATAGCGGAGGACGACACAGAGTTTGACAGTGACTCTGACCCGAGGCCACGAACACAAAGAGGAAAAAAAAAAACAGGATCCAAAAAAAAAACGTCCACAGAATCTCCAGCTGCTGCGTGTCCCGAGGCCCAGCGACGGGAAATGTCCCACAGTGGAGCTTTAACTCTGTTCTGAGACTCTGACCAGGCTCCGGTTCTTTTGAAAAACAAAAAAAGGAAAAAAAAAAAAAAGGAAAAACGTTTCTTTTTTCATGGACGAGTGAAACATTCAGGGACATTTGTAGGAGGATCTGGACCAGTTTGAAAACAAAAAGTTCAAGGGAATTTTGGATGAATTGTTGGACTTTTCTGCCTCGTTTCAAATCTTTAAATCTCAAGTTCAGTGAAATCTGCTTCAACTTTGACCTGGGAACTGTCCAGACCCACAGGAGCTCAGTCTGCTCCTCTCAGAACATCTCCACACACTGCAGAAGCTCCAGAAGCTCCAGAAGCTCCAGAAGCTCCACCTGGTCTTTTATTTAAATGTACGTGAGACTTGAAATCTGAATTTCTTCTGAGTTTCTGTGTTTCTCTGTGTTCCTCTGTCTGTTCCTCTCTGTGTTCCTCTGTCTGTTCCTCTGTCTGTTCCTCTCTGTCTGTTCCTCTGTCTGTTTCCTCTGTCTGTTCCTCTGTCTGTTCCTCTGTCTGTTCCTCTGTCTGTTCCTCTGTGTTCCTCTGTGTTCCTCTGTCTGTCTCTGTCTTCTCTGTTCCTCTCTGTGTTCCTCTCTGTGTTCTCTCTGTCTGTTCTCTGTCTGTCTCTGTTCTCTCTGTTCCTCTTCTGTTTCTCTGTCTGTTCCTCTGTCTGTTCTCTCTGTGTTCCTCTGTGTCTGTTCCTCTGTTCCTCTGTGTTCCTCTCTGTTCCTCTGTGTTCTCTGTTCCTCTCTGTTCCTCTGTCTGTTCCTCTCTGTTCCTGTGTTCCTCTGTCTGTTCCTCTGTCTGTTCCTCTCTGTGTTCCTCTCTGTGTTCCTCTGTCTGTTCCTCTGT